TATTCCGAAAATCCTATTCTATTTTATTCAATTATTTTTAAACCCTTAGGTTTGTTAATTTAACCAAACACTCCAAAAAAGTTTAAAAATTAACAAACCACCCACACCCCCCACTTGTCAGATTCCACCATCACCACCATAAAGTGGCCAGAATTTGGTATAATGGCGCCTAACTTTGATCTGGCTAGTAGTAGTTCGATCTAGCATTTTCCAGCCAGATTCACCGTGGATCTGGTTGGAAAAGACCAAATCTACAGTTGACGATTGATCTTTGGCGGTAGCTGGTCGTCAATGACTACCAGATATGGCCGTCGTTGATGACCAAACGTGACCGTAGATTTGGCCTTTTCTAGTCAGATCCATTGAAAATGTTATATCAACATGACCAACCGGATCCAGCCAATTGTATATTGATACAGCGACTCCACCACCCTCCGACGTGGTGGTCGACTATCAGAATTTAATAGGTGAGTGAGAGTAAAGGTGGAAAAGTAACCCGCCCGGCCCGGCCCGCGGCGGGTTACTTGTTTTGCGGGCTGGGCTCAACCCGCCCGCCAACAAAGGCGGGCCGGGTTAGGCCGCCAATTAAGGGAAAGATGCTGGCCCGCCGGCCCGCCAGCCCTAACCCGCCGTTTTAGGCACGGTCCGGGCCGGGTTAGCCCGATTTTATATTTTTTTTTGTGTTTTTTTTGTTTTTGTTTTTTAATTTATCTTTTCAAATAAATAATTATAAATATAATTATTTTTAGTTAACTTTTCAAATATCAATAATTCAATCAATTCATTTTTTTTTTTTGTTAACATTTCAAATATTAATTCAATTTTAATACAATAAAATTGTAATATAAGAAAAATTAGACTTATTCATTTATCAAAAATAAAATAGAAATTACAACAATTATTGCCTCGTTAAAAACCTCACCAAGAAAAACCCAATGGGAAAAAACTTGGTAAAGAAAAAAGAGTGCAATAATTGACAATTAATTTACAAATTACATTTTACAAAACACTAAATTGGGGTGTGTCACTAGACCTCCCTCATCTGTATCATCTATATTACAAATTGAATGATTCTATTAAAGCATTGTCGATAACCTCGTATTGATCTTGATGGCGCGATCGTTCCCAATCTCGAAGACATGTGAGGACTCACATCATTTTGGAGCAAGTTTAGTCCTCCTTTCATTTAAAATCTTCCACTTGCACTAATGTTTGTTCGGATGAACGGTTGAGACAGGAACAGCGAAAACATCCAAGGCAAGTCTTGATAATACCGGAAAAATACATTTTCTGGCTCTCCAATACTCTAAGAGATCAAAGTGACCTGTTGAAAACATTCTGGGGTTGCCAAATATTGTTGAAGTTCATTACTCTGCGACTCCATGGAGGACAGCATATTAGTTGTTGTTGTTGTTGGTGTGGTGCGTCTGAAAGGAGGCTGTGCTTCGGACTCGGTCCTCTTCGGCCTATTCAGTGCATCCAAGAGAATAAGTCTCATTTGTTTCTTCTGCTACAGCTTCTCTGATATTTCGCCTCTTTGCGACTGCGGGTTCCCATACCTGTTTTCATATTGGAAATATACTTCGAAAAGACTATTTTTTACCTCTCCTATTTGATTGATATATGATTCGTTTTGTAAATTTTCACTTAATTGTCAAGACCATTCTAAACGTGCTAATTTATTCTAGGATCAATATAGCACCTAAACAATAAGAAAAGGAACGGGTCTCCAATATTTCAAAAAAAATTTTTCCATTGCCTTTATTGGTGCATGTAAAATTTCATCTCTTTGTTTTTTGTAAATAACTCGGAATTTTTATAATTGCAGTGATATCAAGGGACTAGTGGGTAATCACACCCAAAAGTTGTAAAGTGGCTTGGTAAAAACATTTGAGAAAAGAATGAAATCTTTAGCTATCTTCCAATCATTTTCTACAAATGATGAGGACCTCTATTATTTGCTACAAATAACTAATTATATTAGCATAAGGTAAACATGAATCAAGCATTAAATAAGACTATTCCATCTAACGGCATATCTAATGCAAAAGTTCTAGGAGACATATTTGATTTTATACAAGCTTCTTGAAATTCAGCATTTCTTTTATTACTACTAGTAATCCAAGCTAAAGATTCCCTAATTCTATCAATATTTTTTTTAATTGTTTTCAACCACTTTCACAATTAAATTATAACATGACATGCACAACGTTGTGAAAAACTTCAAATTATATATAAAGATAATTATTTTGAAAAAATTCTATAGCTTTACTATTAGAACTTGCATTACTAAAGTTAAACTTATCACTTTATCAATAATATCATAATCTTCTAAAACTTCAATAATTTTATTATAAATTTCTAAACCACTATGATCCACATCCATTAATCTAAATCCTAATAAAGATTTATTTAATTTAAATTCATTATCAAATTGACTAGTCCACAAATATAATCTTTTTTAGCTCTACCACTCTAAATATCAGCAGTTAAGCCACACTAATATGACAAGTATGAAATTTATTTTTTAATTCTAATTTCATTTTTTTACACATTTTATTAAATCATTTCTAGTTGCAGTTTTGAATACTTTTAAATCCTGGAAAAATGAATTTTGAACAAATCTTTCAAAATATTTATCTTCTGCCATATTAATAGGTTGATCAAATGCAGCAATATATAAAGCTAACTGTTCCCTATATACATCAGAATTATAACGCCAAGTAGTACCCATATTAGTTATTTGAGTTTGATTGTTTCTCTATTTCCATGTTGATTAATATGTTTATTAGCTGCCTTTTTAAAGTACTAGTACCATCCTGAATCACTTTATAAACATTTGCACAATATTTGCATCTGTCTTTCTTGACTTGAACGCCATTTTCTGTCTCATAAAACTTGTCAAATGCGCCCAAACGTCTGATGTGTGTCTGTTTTCGCTTTCGACGGCATTTGATGATCCCGCCTCAGCTTGAGATGAAGTTGGACGAGGACGACGATTACGAGGACGACTTCTAGAACACCGGCGCTGTTGGAATCGACGCCATATTTTGAGGTGTATCGGATTCTGAGACTGGGATTGGGAGAGCGGGACTATTTGAATCTCCTGCATTCATAGTAAAATCAGCGGGACTAGGACTAGGATAATAGTTTTCTTCCTCATTGAAATGATGGGAGAGAAATATCATCCATTGTAGACTTGTAGTTGAAAAAAAAAAATGATGTAGAAAAACAAAAATTAAAGAAGAGATTTGGAATATGGAAATTGGAAATATGAATTGAAAATTGCAAAACCTAATAAAAATTAAATAAGAGCAAATTGATAACAAAAATATTAAGAATAATGAATAATTGAGACTTGAGAGTTGAGAGAATAGAGAATTGAGAATGGGAGAATTTGAGTTGTGAGAAAAATATGAGAGTTTTAGGTCCAATTTATAGAAAAAAATAGGAAAGAATGACGAAAAAGACCCCTCCAACGGCTATAAAACGGCTAGATTTCAAGGGTAAAAGTGTAATTGAAAAAATAAAAAATATTAATAATTTTTTTTTTTTTTTTTTGGGCCAACCCACCCCGGGGGTGTTGGCCGTTGGCAACAGCCAACCCGCGGGTTGGCCATGCCAACCCGCCAGCAACCCGCCGGGTTGCGGGCCTCTTCGAAAGAGGCCAAAATAGCAACCCGGCGGGCCGCGGGTTACCATAGTGTAACCCGGCCCGCCCGGGGGTGGCTGGCGGGTTGGGCTCAACCCGGCCCGCCATGAAGGCGGGCCGGTTTGAGCCCTCTTTTTTGCGGGCCGGGTTAGGGTTGGCCCGCCTAACCCGGCCCATATTTTCCACCTCTAAGTGAGAGTGATTTTGTTAATTTTTAATGTTTTATTACATGAGTGATTAGCTAAATTAACAAATCTAAAAGAGTGTTTATGTTAATTTTTAAATTCTACCTTGTAATAATCAGTCAACCCACATTTTCTTATTCTTTTCTCTTGGTCTAAAAGACCCTCAAGTCATTGTTGTAGTTGGTCGGGTCTTTCCTAAAAGCCGACAGAAGATAAAATATAAAAGGGTGCGTTTGGTTTATTATTTTAGATAAGATTTTGGGGATAGTATTGGATAGTTGGATAGGGTTATGATTATGAGAATATGATTTATAGAATATGTGTTTGGTAGAGTATTTTGACCTTGATATTTGTGTTGAATATTTGATTAATATATTTTTTTATAAATGATTTATTAATATAATATTTTATTGTGTTTTGTTAAAATAATTATTATATATATAACTTATCAAGTTACGTTTTAATAATACTAAATATTTTATTGGTAATTTTGTCACCCGTATATATTAAAAAACAAAAACCCATATTAATTTCAAGTACTAATCCAACTGTTTAAAAACATCACATTAATACATATATGACAAAAATACTAATTATCAACCCTTACAATCATTATTACACGTGTACTCCATTAACAACTACAACATGGTCCACTGTGTTATCTACAGTGCATTCATTATATTATCCTGTATAGTTGTCACGTTGTCTATAATACTTTATTATGGTTGACTTGATCCTTCTCCATTTCGCCCATATTCTATCCCATTTTAACGATCACAATATATTTCCTCATTACCCGTACTAAGAAGAAATGAAGAAGCGTGAAAGAAGAAATGACAAACCGTGAAAAAGTATTGAAAAAAAACAGGTGAAGGTGTGAAAGAAGAAAAGAGAACGCGTCTGCAGAAAAAATTCAAAAAGATCAAAAAGCTGTCAGCAAAATATCGGAAAAGAGTTTTCAGGATTCTATTATGTAGATAATAAAACAAATACTTTTCCCAAAATCAAACTCAAAATATGGATAAAAATAATTATACAAACGCAGCCTTAGATACAGTCGGTTCATATCTATTGGTTGGATGCAATGCTTATGATGAAGCTGCACACACAGAATAACTTCTATATTACCCTGACTTTCTAACTTCCATAAACCCTAAGAACCCCATCAACCCATCTTAGTCTTCTAGGGAAGGTCATGTCTCTTTAATCTCTAGACACCCGCTCCCTCCGTGGTCGTCTTTTCGCCGCCTTCAGACCACCGTCCACGTAGCCTACAATTTTAAGGTTTTTATTTTTTTTTAAATATTCGTTTAAATATAGTTTGTTTTTACCATGGTCAATCTTGTGTTTGAACCTTCAGTTTTTGTGTTTTAATGTTGTTAGTTTTTCTTTCTTTCGTTCTTTTTTTTCTTCCCATATATAGATTTTTTATTTATTATTTATATTTAGACCTAATTTGGTTTTCCTTTTTAATTATCATTCATCAGTGGCACACGGTTGCAATCATCGAACTTTTTTTTAATCATTGATCCGGCGACGAACGACGACCGTCACCGGCGACCTGAATCACCTGGTTGCGGCACAGGAAGTCGCCTTTAAAAGGTACTTTTGCTGTTTCTTTTCTGCTCTATGAAAACTTTCTCTCATAATGTCTTTTTCATTTTTACTCACCTTGAAGATGAATGAAATAGAATGGAAAGATATATTCTGTTGATTTCTTTTTTTAATTTTCTGTCATTAATTTAAGTATTCAGCTACAATCTTATATGATAAAGTTTATTTACCATGATTTGTTGGTAAATTTGAATTATTTATATATTCGACAAGTGCTAACATTCCATAGATTAATTTTTTTAGAAGAATAGAGTTTGTGTTGGATGAATAGCGCGGCCTTACATGATTGATATAAATATAGATTTTAAATGACTAAAAATCTGAATTAAAGCTTTATATCAATTTGGAGCTTGTAAGTTGCTGAATTGATGGAATCTAAAATTGAATTTTATTGCCATAGATAAGGGTTTAAGAATGGACTTTGTTGTTGCTAAGAAGGTTGCCCCCTTTTTATTTTCTTGCATCTTAATCTTGCTGAAGTAGCAATTTGATAGTAATATTATTTCCTGAATGCATTTAATTTTTGTTATTTTATGTTGATTAATTTGCCAATCAGAGCTAATTAGCCATGACACTTCAATCTCATGGCCCCTGATGTTCATATAATTTTCACAATGGTGAAAACCTGAACTCAGATTTTAATACTACATCTCCAGTTCATTTTTGTTTTTGCAATACCCATTCTTGATAGAATCTCAATATTTTTGAAGCTTAAGAAACTAGATGTTACCGCACCTTATTAACTGATCATTCTTATTATTTGGTTGGACTCTCTCTGCAGATGGGGAAAGAAAAGCAAACACTTTTTAATAAAGCCAGTTCCAATGGTGATCTAAAGTCAATCATTCAGCAACATACATTGTTCTTTGACAAGTTGATTGAGCTCATCCCCGCAAAGTTCTATGTACCTTCTGATGATAAGAAGCAATGGTTTCAGGGTCTTAGCAAGAATGAAAAAGCTTTGGCTAAGAAAGAATCAAGAGAAAACATCAAGAAAGCTCGAAGGGAACGGTTTGATCCAAATTCTAATAAAACAACACTTGATTTGCTTAAGCAAAACTTAGAAAAGGAAAAATCAAATGAGGATAGTGATGATGAAGAAATAGAAGTTAAACCTGTAATGTTGGGTCTAGAAAGTGATGAACGATCAGTTACATATGAAGAACTCAGGCAAAGACTTCGCCGCAAGATTGAAGAGCTTCAGGCAGGTCGAAATGCTGGAAGTTCAGATCAATTAAAGAAGAAGAGTGAGAAGAAGGGTATTCAGCAAAAGAAACGCAAAAGAGAATCTGGATCTGAAGGACAGAAATCTGCAACTATTGATGCATCAAAAAGGGTGGAGGAGGATATAGTGGAGGCTTCAAAGGGACTTGCATTTAGTCATGTCAAAATTGGAAATGAGGAAAAGCATGGGAAAAAGAAGAGGAAGCTTTCTAAGTTTATGGAGCTTGAAAAAGCTCAAAAAATTGAAGAAGCAAAGAAAGATCCTGAGAAAGGGGAGATGATCGCAAAGAAGCTTTCATGGAACGCAGCAACTAGTAGAGCTGCAGGGATTAAAATTCATGATAACCCAAAGCTTTTGAAACAGAGCCTACAGAAGAAGAAGAAAAAGCAGCAGAAGAATTCTGAGAAGTGGAATGAGAGAATTGAAACTACACAGAAGATGAAAGCTGAGAGACAGCAGAAGAGATCAGAAAACTTAGCTGACAGGAGTCACCAAAAGAAGATGCGTCGGATTGAAAAGCGAGAGAAAAAGCTCATGCGACCAGGGTTTGAAGGTCGTAAGGAAGGTTATATTAATCAAGGTGCATCTTGAGGTGCCCTGCTGCTTTAAATTTTGTGTCAGTCTTTGGTTCCTTTCAACTCAGCGTTCCCTGGAACTAGCTGTAGGAATTACGTCAAAGTACAAGGAAGGTATTTTTGCTTTAGGAATCCTGTTTTCATAGAGTGCCTTTAATTTTTATGTCTCCTTCGCTACAAATGAATATTGTTAAAATACTGATTGTTGTTTTATGTGATGATAATCTCTGCCTCTTTGAAAGTAATCTTTTACCAGTTGCATATGTTTTTCAATTTACTTAATCGTACTAATGCATTCAGTTGATGATTTAATTTTTCATCTCAACAAATATTATTTCTCAATTTGAATTGCGTGTATTGAAGTGGGTTATCTGTTATAAATAGATGCATTAAGAATGAATTTATAGTTAACAAGTTTTGTAGCAGAAGTTTTTATTTAAATGTTTTGTGTCTCATGATAATAACAATAAGTCCCTTGTCTACCAAGCATAGAATAACCATTTGTTTGTGTTTTATTAAGTTGATCAAGTGAGCTTGCAGGGATGCAATGTATGTTGTAATTGAAGTATCCTTCCTTTTCATTTTGGCCTCTGGTTAAGTTGTACTCATAATCATATGTCATGACCTGATAAAGCGTTTGGCTTCTGAAGAGGGTGAATTTTTGTTCACCCATTGATCGAGGTAGATATATTTTACTCTCCATTTTCGCAAACACTAGTGGAAAAATTAGAAGAAAGAAGTTGCAGAGCTCTTTAGTCTTTATACAGCATAGTAGAGGGCAAAGGTTAGAAATATGGATAATATGGCATAAAATACATTTATCATCCCTGAAGCTAGGTAAACATTGTTTCTTTGAGTTTCAAAATGACTGTACCGTATTTCATTGACGTTTAGAGAATATTTGGAGTAGCTTAATATTTTACTAAACACCAGACTAAAAATAATATAAAAACTAGATTGAAGAACAAACTTTTTTATCGGTGCATTCACTTCCAGCGGGGAACCCACAAAGTAAAAGCTTCAAGTTCTAGCTCTGGCAAAGAAATTTAGGGAAGATAAGCCACAATTTTTCTTCATTTAATCTTTCTGTACTTCTTAATTGCCGTCAAACCCAAAAGCCAAGTTCAGAAACCAAAATGCCCTATTCCGCCCAATCCAAAAAGCCAAGCTCATTTGCAAAATGTCAAATCTACAAGATTGTGTCTTCTTGTGTTTGCGTTGGCGGAGGCGCCGTTAATGGTGGTACCGGAGGCGCCGTTAATGGTGGTACCGGTGGCGTCGTGGTGTCTACATTACTGGGTGGTGAAAGAGAATTTGTTAAATTGAACTTTCTGGATAAGAAAGAATATAAATAAGGAAACTGGTTTTTAATATAATTAAGACTCACCAAAACCTAACAACATAAAAAGAATTTTTAGTAATATTATCATATTTCTCAGTTTTCTTATATCATGTAATGTGTTATTTAGTTTGTTATTATAAAATGAAATGATTGTAAAAATATTTAAAATATATTTACAAAGTATGTAAATTGATGAAATCTGTTAGGAGAATCATATTAAGGAGTAGAAATAATTGTGGGTGGAAGCAATTCTCGGCACTAAGTATAGATTTTTCCCAAAACATTACCGCAGTAAGTAAGAGGCACTGGCAAGTTCCATGCAATCTATTACCAAGAGAATAACCACCAACAATGAAGTTAACCATTGATGGAGGATCAGGAAAGAACGTTGGTTCAGAATACTCGAGCAAGGAGTTGATTTTTTTCCACACGGCAGACCCATGTAGTTTTTCACTGAAAAGAAAATCAAATGGGGAGGTCCTTTTCAACACATGTCCTGATCAATCAGATTCATTAGGTGAAATGATATTTAAAGACCAGTACCTTAAAATTTCCACCAAATTACCTAAAGATGCCTCAGTATGGTCTACAAGAAAAAACACAATATCAAGGGATCACACTATATCCGGAAGATGCATACACTTTTTATACAACTGATGTAACAACCATTAATTGTAATACTGATCTTTACGGCGCCCATCCTATGTACTTGGATCTTAAGAATGTGGGTGGCCAGGACTCAGGGTAATGCTGATGCAGTTCTTTTGCTTAACAGTAATGGCATGGATACGTTCTCAAAGGAACTTCTTTGACATACAAGATAATTGGGGGTGTTTTCAACTTTTACTTCATTGCAGGGCCAACACCTCTTGCTGTTATTGATCAGTATACTGCCTTTGTTGGCAGACCCGCTCCTATGCCTTACTGGTCTTTTGGTATATATGAATTAATATCTGTTTCTTCTTAGAATTATTTAATATTTTTAGTGCTTTTATGTTTGTCTGCTCTATGCAAACTCTCTCGAATTTCTTTTCATTTTACTACCTTGAAGATGAATGAAATAGAATGAAAGATATATTCTGTTGATTTCTTTTTTTAATTTTCTGTCATTAATTAAGTATTCAGCTACAATCTATTGATAAAGTTATTTACCATGATTTGTTGGTAAATTTGAATTATTTATATATTCGACAAGTGCTAACATTCCATAGATTAATTTTTTTAGAAGAATAGAGTTTGTGTTGGGATGAATAGCGCGGCCTTACAGATTGTAAATATAGATTTTAAATGACTAAAAATCTGAATTAAACTTTATATCAATTTGACTTGTAAGTTGCTGAATTGATGAATCTAAATTGAATTTTATTGCCATAGATAAGGGTTTAAGAATGGACTTTGTGTTGCTAAGAAGGTTGCCCCCTTTTTATTTTCTTGCTATTAATCTTGCTGAAGTAGCAATTGATGTAATATTATTTCTGAATGCATTTAATTTTTGTTATTTATGTTGATTAATTTGCCACTAGAGCTAATTAGCCATGACACTTCAATCTCATGGCCCCTGATGTTCATATAATTTCACAATGGTGAAAACCTGAACTCAGATTTTAATACCATCTCCAGTTCATTTTTGTTTTTGCAATACCATTCTTGATAGAATCTCAATATTTTTGAAGCTTAAGAAACTAGATGTACCGCACCTTATTAATGATATTCTTATTATTTGGTTGACTCTCTCTGCAGATGGGGAAGAAAAGCAAACACTTTTAATAAAGCCAGTTCCAATGGTGATCTAACGTCAATCATTCAGAACATACATTGTTCTTTGACAAGTTGATTGAGCTCATCCCCGCAAAGTTCTATGTACCTTCTGATGATAAGAAGCAATGGTTTCAGGGTCTTAGCAAGATGAAAAAGCTTTGGCTAAGAAAGATCAAGAGAAAACACAAGAAAGCTCGAAGGGAACGGTTTGATCCAAATTCTAATAAACAACACTTGATTTGCTTAAGCAAACTTAGAAAAGGAAAATCAAATGAGGATAGTGATGATGAAGAAATAGAAGTAAACCTGTATGTGTGGGTCTAGAAGTGATGAACGATCAGTTACTATGAAGAAATCAGGCAAAGACTTCGCCGCAAGTTGAAGAGCTTCAGGCAGGTCGAAAGCTGGAAGTTCAGATCAATTAAAGAAGAAGAGGGAGAAGAAGGGTATTCAGCAAAAGAACGCAAAAGAGAATCTGGATCTGAAGGACAGAAATCTGCAACTATTGATGCATCAAAAAGGGTGGGAGGAGGTATAGGGAGGCTTCAAGGGACTTGCATTTAGTCATGTCAAAATTGGAATGAGAGAAAAGCATGGGAAAAGAAGAGGAAGCTTTCTAAGTTTATGGAGCTTGAAAAAGCTCAAAAAATTGAAGAAGCAAAGAAAGATCCTGAGAAAGGGGAGATGATCGCAAAGAAGCTTTCATGGAACGCAGCAACTAGTAGAGCTGCAGGGATTAAATTCATGATAACCCAAAGCTTTTGAAACAGAGCCTACAGAAGAAGAAGAAAAGCAAAGCAGAAGAATTCTGAGAAGTGGAATGAGAGAATTGAACTATTGCCCTTTAACTGTTAAAATAAAGGAAACGAAGTTAGTTTAAGGTTGAGAATCTAAAATAAATATAACAAAGAGTATAAACTTGAGATTTTGCTAAACCTTAGGTGGGAACATGTCGTTTGCTCGTTCATAAATTCCATTGGTGTCTATCTATTTATATGAAGTTGAAAATCAAGAGTTTTAATAACACTAAATTCCACTACCATAAACACATGAAGAAATTCAAAGTCTCCCACTAATATATTTTAAAGGCAATTGCATATTTGACCATCAAAATCTAAAGGCATAATTGTCCTAAACAATAAAATTACCCTCTAGAATAATTTTCGAATTTTTTTTTTTTCTCTCTCCCTTTGTCCCATACATAGAGCAAAAAGTTCTTTTAAAAATTTTCTTAATCAATTATGAAGGGCATTACGTCTTTTCCATGGTCAATTATGGTCTTCCATCCAAAATAACAGCAAAAACTCACGACAGGGGTAGTAAGTGGCTAATTCCGAGTCGGTGGGTGTCATTTGTCAATTTTATGTTTTAGGGGTTGTCCTTTGAAAACCCCTCTACTTAATAATAAAAACAACTTTCTATTATAAAATAAAATCTTAGACAAAATGCTAATGGAAAATGATTGAGTTACCGAAAAGTGTACACTGAAATTGTGCATCGAATGACGTGGCAAAATATTGACCGTTGATTAATATTAACTTATAATTAATAAACGGTCAGGATTTTACCATGTTATTCGGTACACAAATTCGATGCACACCTGTCAGTAACTGTAGCATTACTCAATGCTAATACATGTTGAAAGATGTACTTGATGACATTGACTAAAAATAAATATTAAAAAATATATAAAAAATGGCTTAGAAATTTATAATACATGAGTTGTAAAAATACAAATAAAATAATATTTTTGATAATAAATAGGATTTATAGATGTATTTAAATTTATTTAAAATTTTTAATAAAACAAACTTAAAATTAATATCTTGAAATATATAATACCGGAGACAATAAAGAGGTTGTTTGCTTAATTATTTTTGCACTATCCTATCCTTATCCTATCCAAAATACTCATTTGTTTCCCTCTTCTAAAAATCATATTCTATTTTATTCAATTAAACCCCCTAGGTTTGTTAATTTAACTAAACACCTGAAAAAAAGTTTAAAAATTAACAAAAACACCCTCACCCACTCACATTTATCAGATTCTGGCCACCACAATCGGAAAGTGGCCAGAATTTGGTATAATGACACACTAACGGTTGGATCTGGTCGGTAGTGCGTCGATCTAGCCTTTTCCAGCCA